AGGGTGGGTTAGGGTGATGAATGAGTTCTGTCGTCGGCATGGCCACAAGGCTTCGAAAATGTCAAATACACGGGTGCTTCTAGAGCTTCCAGCTGCTTCCAGCATCCAGCTGACTATGGCGCTTTGTTTTGTTTGGAATGTTATCGTAAAATTCTTGATGTTTTAGGATACGCCTACCATCTTCCTATCTATCATTTGTGAACTTCGTACGATTGAGAAAATTGAACTTCCCATATGAACATTCCAAATCTTGCTAGTGATTGAGCAAGAGCAAGGGTAAATACATAAGCATCTCCACGCTTCTGCACATCCGTGCTTTCTTCTTCTGTTTCTTTCAGCGAAGACCGGTGACTCTAATGTTCATCTGATACAGAGGTTTGTCCCCTGTCTGGCTAAATGTTGAGCGCTTGGCCGCGGGAAGTTACTTAGATGAAGTTCTGAAAGAAAGCAGAATGCGTCCTCACCCCCTGTATCGAAGCTAAAGCTTTATTCTCACACGCAGTTTTTTATCCCAACCAGTACACTGCACATCCCAGCGATGGAGTTGGCGTGAGGCACTTTTGTTGAACATGGCCTTGTACTGAATGAAGTCATGGTTGCAACTGTTCTGAACCTGCAGTATCCCTCCAGAAGCGCACTTGCCGCCACGCTTCAATGAAGTAGGCAGTCACGGACTCTCCAGCGTCTGGAGTAAGTGTAATTAGCAGTTTAGATAAAGTACCGCACTGCACTAGTATAGTCAAATTAGCATCTTCGCGAGCGAGTGCGGCGGCAAATTTGTCTGGCCCGATTCAACTTCAAAAACGTTCTTACTTTTGATCTCTGAAGTAAGTCATTGTTTCCGCGTGAGACGGAGTGGGTGTTGGCATAGCTTTTTCACAGGCACATGGTATAGGATCAAATCCAGACGCTAGATTTCCCTAGCCCAGCCAACGCGAGCGTCTCTCGGCTTCGGGGAGCGGTAAGTTGGTAATTATTCGTCCGGGTGGATGACCATTAACTTTGTTATATCGGCTGCCCCCAAGTCATTTGTATAGGCCAGATCGCTCTCAATAAACCGATTCTGAATGGAAGTAGAATGTGTGTCGCATGCCAAACAGGGATTGACTGACGGCGAGGAGTTTATCCTTTACCTTTTCAATGTTACTTGAACTACTGAAGTGAACCAAGAACTAGAATACCTACCTGGCCCAACATCTTACAGTACCCCACGAATACAGAATCAGCAACGAGGACCTTAGAACTTTGATTATTTATCGCGGCGACTCAACTCATGCAGTCATAGCTCACAGGTCGTCACTTTCTGCCGCATTTCATTTCATGGAATAAAAGCCGATTAGGGGATTATGGCGAAGTGCCGAATAGAGATAGCAGTATAACCGAAAGATTATTGGCAACCGATAGATACCGGAGAGTTTGAACAGCGATTTTATGGCTCAAACTCCTCCCTGTAGAGGTCCACTGTTGGTTCAGCACTCCACGTGTACCTAGGCGCCAACGTTTATTGTTGTCTGTTCTTTATTCTGAATGTTTTTGGAATGTGCCTCTGCACTAGCCTTGACGTTGACGGTCGGTGATCTGAATGCTCGTCCCCGATAATGACGCTCACTTGCTTTGTGCCCACCTGATGTTCGAGAATTTTTGAGAGTGAACCCTTTCGCCCGAGGTTCCCATTAAACTTACCATTTGGGATCTCGAAGTGTCTTCTTTCTGAGAGGATGATTTTTGAGGGAACCCTGGTATTGACATCTTATAGCGTTTGGAATCAAGGATCACTGTTTTTGCAGGAAAGTGAGGACATGTTTGTTGTTGTGGGGTGGGGAGGAGATCACTCCTGCAAGGGAAAACAACCTTTTCCTGGCACAAAAAATGATTTCACCTATGATTCCTCCTCACTGCTTCGGTCTGCGACTTAGATGTTCACACTGATCGCTTGGTTCTTTTTCGAAATTTTTCTTTTATTGTACTATTGGCTATTTTGATTTGCTATTACGAACTACGCGGCGTTCCCTCTAGTGCTTTCCAACAAAGAATCAGGAAAAACTGTGGTCTAGCAGAATCGGTTGCACTATTCTTTTAGCTGCATCAGAAGAAGATCGTCGTAACGTGCTGAATTTGTTCTTTTCCAAGACAGCGCGCTTTTAACATTTGGGGTTCAGGGGTTTAGGTTTTTAACAAACCCAACAGGGGATCGTTTTTGATCGCTGGAGAGGTGGGTCGTACTCGGATTCGACAGGAATTTTCGCGATCACGCGCGCTATACCACCTCCTAGTAGACGTAGTTACGCGGACTCCAATTACTTCTCATAGTTGACCAGAGGTGCCTGCTGCTCACCTCCTGCTTGACGGCTAATGTTCTGCGGAGAATTAGTAAGCAGCGCCAGATATTTATGAGAGAGGGGCGTGCTTGAGGGTCGGCTTGAACATAACACTTCATTCATCTCGATGCTGAATCTTGGTGGCGAAGACGGCACGCCAGTGACGAATTTTAGATGGGACGTTTGTTCAGCCAGTCGAATAATCTCTTTTTCGGCAGAAATACGTCGCCTAGTAAGCGGGAAACTCATAATTAGCAGCAACTACAAGACAGAAGTTATCCACTTCTTCTCATTGCTTGTTGCCGGATTTCTGAAAAAAAATATATTCGGAAAGCTGGCCTACGAATGCTCAAGTGTCCGTTGGTCGCCCAGTTGATTGAAGGTCTCTTTCATAGAAGGAACATTGCTCTTTAAATTCGAAGGGTGGCAAGGCTGCAGCGACGTCACCGATGAGGGGGAATATCTATAGCACGTCCCTTCCTTTCCCAGCCTTTCTCCCGGGAAACATACCCTAATTGAGTAGCGCGTAAGCCGATTCACACATTACCGTTCTTTTGTCTAATCCATTTCACACCCACGCATGTTACGCAAGTGCTCTATTGTTCCCATAACTTCAATTTCCCATCATTTGATTTTTTTATTCACGCTATTGACGTCAGTAGTTTCAACATTATGAATGAAAAATCATTTGAGCAAACACGATCCTGGTTTACTCCCTGTACACCAAAAAAGGGTGCCACATGCAGTCTGTGGAACATATACAACTTACCTTCTACCCCATAAGATTCGATCTGTGAAAATACCGTGCAACTCTCTTCAAAAAATATCGTACAATCGTAGTTTTGAATATTCAATAATTGATGGAACACTCGAACGTTTCTCGTTTCTCTGGATTTCCCAGGTACCTCCCTCCTCCGCGGATGTCCATTTATTGAACCCCACGAGTGCTGGTAGATTACCTGAACGCCTTTCGTCTCCATCAGGAGTAGCATGCCTCATGGTTATGAATCCTCATGTTGTGTTTAGTCGTCAGGGAGTCGCCTATCGATACCACCACTCTAATGTGAGAGTGATCTAGTTGGGGGCCCAGGTTTTCCACATCCATTTGGTTTTCCCAGAACAGGGGGTCTTTCTCTCTTTTCTCTTTCTTAGGGTGCCATTGTAGGGTGGTCTAGCTCTACCACGAGCAATTCATTCTTGCTATGAGTTTTTCCTGGCCACAATAAAGGCAATGGTTGATCTCTTTCTGGGAGAAGGCGTGCATTCTACTTACATTTTCAGCAGAGTGGTGCTAGCATGTTCAACTACCCCTACAATGTCTTGCAAAGTTGCCCTATGCAGTACAAGCAAGCCTCTTATACTCTGGTATGGTTTTGGTGAACGAAACGGGAAGAGTCGATGGCGCCCCAAATATGCGTGTATTCCTGAGAAAAGTCTGAGATTGGATACCTTTCAGTGAACCTTCCGTCCCTCCTCGATCCGTTATTTGGTACCCGTACTGATTTGAAGGACAAACAGTGATTTTACAACGGTTGGCCCCTGTGTAGGTCAAGTTGCAATCAGTATGCATCTACGCTCCCTAATGAAACTACAATACACGGCCCAACCCGAAAAAGGGATGATTATGCCGATTGCTTTAT